CGGTAAAAAGGAATTCAGTGAATTCGTGAACCAAGCGCCAATTGCAATTATTAGGAAAGGTGAAAGTGTTTGAATAAAAGAGTATTATCTCACAAAATAAAAAATAGTCTTTTATTTATGATTTCCGTTGGATTTGATTCTCGATGTTTATTCTTATTATTCTTTTTTTTAGAAATTTAAAACTTAAACTTAAAACGAGTTTGTACAAGATAATTATAATAATCTAGTGTTTCATCATTGAATGGGGAATCTGATTTAAATATATTATATAAATATAAAATAATAGAACTTTTTCTTAAAATCGGTTATGGCAGTCGATTTTCTTCTCTTATAAATATAAACTGAAGCGAATAAAATATAAATAATTCATCTACGTGTATTCAACCAAATAGGTTTTAGGTTGAAGTTGAAGGGAAGCTATATACAGAATTCAAGGTTTTGGCAAGATTAAATGTTTACACTTTGTTTCAGTTCGAGGAACTGGAAAGGCACGTGCAGTGTACAATGTTTATGTTCGACAACAAGATGGCCTCGTCTGTGCGAGGCGCCGACAACTAGCACGGTTTCGCCTTTGATGAGGACAGGTCCATCTGAGTTAACATCTTCAGGGAAAGACATTTTCATCATTCTTGTTTGCGGGTAACCTAACTTGGTATTTCCTGCCACCGTGTACGAGCGACTGGGAGGAACTGGGGGTGGCCTCTCCAAATCTAATCCAAACAAATTGCACGTCTGTTGTATTATCTTTTGGTCGCATTTTTCCGTTGGATCAGGGGGAGGCGTTCCTGCAATTGGTTGAGGACGGGGACGAGCACCGCTCGCATTCGTACGGTTAATAGTTTGCTGCACCTTCTCTCTGCGTATGTTGGCCCATCGGTAACGACATCTCCACCCTCTCCAGGTGGCTTGAATTAACGTTGCCGACTTTTGCCTGGTCTCCGTTCTGAGGTTCTCTAAATGCTGGCGAATGCCTTCGCTCAGAAATATGTGCCTCTTGCCCAAGGCCCAACTCATGGAAACGGCTGGATTGTGTTGCTTCGATATGAGGTCGACGACGTGCTGGAGGATCAAATGGCAATCATCCGTGACCTTTTCTTCGGTACGATGCAACCGGGCGAAGGGAGCCAAGAGTCTGTAGCGGGCGTTGAAGGCTTTGAATCTCATTCTGTGCGGATAGCCGCCCGCCATCAGATTAACAGTTTCCAAGACCTGGAGGGACCGAATTTGGCGCACGACTGTTCCGCGATCGAATCGGTTCGGAGTCTCTTGAGAGTTACTGCGAATGCACCTCACGAAATGAGGCCTCGCGTGAACCAAAGTTCTTAATAAATTATCGAGTCGTGTGTGAAAATCTTGCGTCAGCGTTGAGACCGGCTCGTCACCGTTCAGCAAATCCGTATGCGATGTTGGCGAAATCCTGAAGCTCACTCCTCGGGGGACATTCTCAACGGAGTACAGGGCTTTTAGCTCGCTGCCGAAGAGATGAGTTGCGAAGCCGAAGTTGCAGCTGTGCTTGTAGAACACGGCCACCAGGTCATCGGGAACTACGTCTTTGTTGGTGTCCAAAAAGTCCGAGGCGTCATATACGACCCGCCCAGCAAAATGTTGGATTCCGAAGAGGCGCGGCTCTAAAGGTTTCGGATCGAACAGACGCATATTGTGCTTATGCTGAACTTTGATTTTAGCAACGTAAGACTCGGCCGTGCCTCTGATCGAACATTCCACGTCTAGCATACTGAGCAATCCGGTGCGCAGAGATGATATCAAGTCGATGCACGGCACGTTATCTACATAATCCACCTCGACTTCGCAATTAATACCTTCATCTCGGCAAGATTCTATGCTGGATTTAAAGATGTGTGTGTTATAGAAGTGCTGCATCGTTTCAGCGCACAGGTTGATACACAAATGCTCCAGCTGACTCGGCTTAGGATCTTCGAATCCGAACATGTCTAAAATCCCAATGAAACCGTCCGTGGCGTGACGGACGGCGTTGTTCAGAGCGGCCATAGATTTGCTTCCGGCGTTTGTGCCGCCTATGGTTGAAGCGTGCTGGCTTGTAACTTCTGCTTGGTTATGCACGGACTCGTTGGAATCCGAACTCAAAGTTCCTAAGGTTGAACCTAGCCTCTTCAGACTGTTAGCTCTCCTCACTATGGTAGCTACGGTTCTACAATAAAGCGCTTTCGCTAAGCAGTCTCTGGTCATATTCGACATATTTGCATCACAAACAGACTTAACTAGTTGACCTCGGGCGTTGTGAGTTCTATAGGTTAAACCTCTGAAGAGAGCTGCTCCAGAGACCCCGAGGAGACCGGCCACCGCGTTTAATTCAGTTTCACCTTTAACGTCGACTTCTAAGCCTTTGCCGTCGATGAATTGTACATTGCCTAATAGTAGGACAGCTGCTAAAACCCGCACTACGTCCAAAAATGGAATTCCTAAAATTCCCAAACAAGTTTTCCACGCTTGAAACCTGAAACAAGAGGAAGACAAAAAAACGATGACAATTACAAGGCAGGTCGTTAAGAATGTTTTTGGACGTGTTCTAGTACCTATTTGAATCCTCGGTCATGTCCTGTCTGGTGTCGCCGTTTTGAAGATACCTCAATGTGGACGGAGTACATCCATCTAGGTTCAGTTTCGTTCTCTCCTCCGAAGAGAGTCCGGCCAGCATTTGATAAAATATATGGTAATTCTTCTCACCTCGCAGTGGTTGAATAACCCGCGTCTGGTCGAGAAAGTAACAATGTATTTTGGTCCTGTACAGAGCGCCGTCCGTTACTTGAACCTCGATGAATTGACCCTAAATTATGAAATTCAATTAATCATCGGATTATCCACGGTTTTTGTGTCTTTTCAAACGTACGATCCTGCTCGACTCCGAATTCGTCGCGGTCTTCGCCGAGCCCAGCGACCGCAGAACAGTGAAGGCAGCGGCCAAATGCTTGAAGGCGTCGGTCTCGGGGCCGCCGCCGGCTACGGCAAAAAGTTGTCGAAGAAGCAGCATGGATGCATGGCTTTTACCCGATCCGCTGGTTCCTATAAAACCGTTTCAATTATTAATATGATGACCTCAGATACTAAACTATTCCAATATTAAATATTAGATCATTGCACATCATTTTTAAAATCATTTAAATTACTAAGCGCATAAAATAAGATTTCATTCATTAAACTTCAATAAATGAATTATTTCAAAGTTGAGTAGAAGACTGTTATGAACAAATAATATTTTCTATTATCAGTATTACTAGTTAAAACTAGTAATATTTTCTTTTAAATGATTTAATTAAATTTTTATAGAAAAAAAACTAGATATATGCATTCATTTTAAGTGATATGATCAGATCAGCGGTGTAACTGCCTAATAGATGATGATGGGTCCTTGTTTGTTGTTTACAGGTAGGTATGTACGCTAATGGAAAGTACTTACCGGAAAGGATGATGGCTTGTGGATAACCCGTTTCTGATTGCTGGCGGACAGCTTCCTGAACGACCCTATTGAGCTGAGAACTGAGGGCCAAACCTCTTGTGCTGCTCAAGGTTAAGGGATTTCCGACGTCGCGGTAGGGGTTGACGCAAAGCAAGATCGGGCCGACGTTCGTCTGCAGTGGCCGAAGAATGAAAGAGAGAGAGAGACAAAGATAAAGAAAGAAATAAAAAATACAAAGTGGGACAATAAGGATGTAAATGCTCGCTTCTTCGGCAAGTTCACGGCCAAGCGTGAACGCTGGGCCGGGGCGACAAAACAGGTGCCGCCGCGGCCCAAGGTCAGAACTGTTCAATGACTCACGTAGAAGCTGGAAGAGGCGAAGCGTGCCTGCAGGCACTTCATGACCGCATCCTCGGTGAGGGGCCCTTCGAGATGTATGAGGTCTTCGAGATCTGCCCCGGCAGTCGGCAGATGGACACGTGGCTCGGGCACGGAGTGGACCACAGGCGGTGATGTCGCCGCAGCCGCCGCCGCTGCTGCCGAAGACACGATCGTAGCGGTACGCGGAGGAACAACCGGCTGGGCTGGGCTCTGCACCTGGACCTGATGTTGCTGCTGCTGTTGCTGTGATTGCTGCTGCTGCTGAGGTTGCTGTTGGGTCGGGGTTTGAGTCTGGGTCTGCAGCTGACCCGGACCCAGCGCCCCCGTCGACCCTTTCAGCGGGGTCGCGGGAGAGCCCTGCACGTGCAGCCTATTTCGCAGCGTGACCAGCTCGCTGCTGAGGCTACGCAAACGTTGTTGCAGGTGAACGGCTTCATTTGAGGAGGACGCATCTGTAATAATAAATCACATAATATTAATAAATTGCTATCTTTATATCTAATTGAATTATTATTAGTCTATTTCACTACTTAAGTCCGAAAATATGGTAAATTTCGCACACATAGATTACCTACAAAAACTATCCACACTTTATCATCAACATATCGAGAATTATATAACAGTACTATAATAATATTATTGTACCAATCTGGAATGTAGTAACAGATTTAAATAATCATCACACGTGAGACACAAAGCTCTGACGCAACGTAATCAATTTTGACACATCCAATTTAAAAGCATTATTACAAAATCATTCCGCTTACAGCGCAAATTAAATATTCCATATTTGTAACTTAATACACAATCAATTGAAAAAGCTAATTAGTTTCCGATTAATCAACGACGTTACACAAACAAATTGTACAGCACGATTCGATTATTATTATTACTAATAATATCTAATATCCATTTTCTAAAGATATATTAATCAACATATAATATGCGTAAAATCAAATTGCTAACGTTGTTAATATTCTCAATGTTATACTGCTTAGAAGTAAACAAAATTAACACAAAATTAGCAAATGCTACTGTAAAACTTCTATATTCATTACCAATAGATAAAAAAAATTTAAACTATTAATTTAATATACTACAGCTCTTACTTATTCATATTTTTTTCCTATAGTTTACTTCCTTATTACTATTTATAATTAACTAGAAGATTTATTATATTAAAGGTATGATACAATTAATATTCAACTAGTAACGATTGTAATATTATGTTATTACTAGGCTATATAGTGAAAACATGTATTTATTAATAAATAAAAGATAAAAGTTTGAAGTATTCGGTTAATGAATTTTGTAATCGAATAGAAAATTGTTAATGAAAATACATTTCGGAATATTAACGAGTGTTGTGATCAGATCGAGATAAATTATGAAGTTATTATGATAATAAGATCAAGATCAAAGAGAGCAATAATAAAAAAAGTTAATTAATGAATATTGATTGTAAATTGATCGAGTTGAATTTCTAATTGCGAGGGGGCACAGTCAAGGTATGGACGGATACAATAAAAAAAAATGGGAGCACGTCAGTTCGTTGACTTTCGTTCATTGGTTTTAAGTAGTTTATAAAGTTTTAATTTGCATCTAGATTATACTTTTTTGTTAAATATATTGTGACCTTATAAAAATAATAACATTGGTTGCTAAGAATATATATTATAACTCATTTAAATGTAATATATTTTGAAATTTATATTTTTTGAGACATGGTGGTATACATAACAGTTAAAATAATATTCTTCAGAAGATTAATGTCATACAAATATATCAGTTATTATTCATACGTGAACGGTTGCAGAAGGTGATGAAGGTTCGATGACCAAATTGGCGATTGCAGGACGAACTGATTTATTCGTATAAGCCTCTTGCGTGCACTAAGTATGATTTAATTGACACATCACGATAAAATAAGACTAATCAATTTGTTGTTTCTTTTCTTCTGTTCTTGTTTTTTTTTTCTCTCTCTCTTTTTGTATATATATCCCGAAGAGAATTAAATAGTGAAGTAATTAACGAATGGCATTGCTGGTTGAATTCCAGAATGGTTTAATTAATTCTAGCTTGTGTGGAAGGAAGGAATGCGAGTCAGCCCTGATCGAGTGCCCGATATATTTACCGGTTATGCAATGCAACGGCGCGAGAAAACGAAGAAAGAATCCTGGCAAGATGCAGAAAACGAAAACCGAAAAAAAGCATTATCCAAGCTTTGCATCAAACGACTGTTTTGAGGCATTAATCAAATATCGGTTATAGGAAGGTGGAGGTTGAGGAGGGAATGAAGGAGAAGAGGCAAAAAGGGCCAGACGCCGAAAATGATGATGATGACGATGATGATGCGGATGAAAACTGGTTCTTGTCCTCTTCGACTTTTACCCTGGCTGCCAGCCGCTGAGGTCCGGGCCAGAAATGCAAAATTACAACTTTCGCTTGCTTTCGGCTTTGCTGAATGAAACCTTAAATGGTTTCTGTTCCTTATTAAAAATTCCTTCTTCTGCTCTCTCTCTCTCTTTCAACCTCTCTTTCTCCATCTCCCTCCTTTCTCGCTTCTCTTCGTATTGCCTTTTATTTGCCTCTTGCATTTTTATGCGAGGTTTCTCCGGTCAGATTTATCGGTCCGGCCTTCATCAAAGATCCGAGACAAAGGTGCGCATAGACGTTTCGTGCCCAAAACCCAAAAACACCATAAATTTTCTGGACGAACTTATTTTTTATATTCCCGACGGATTCCCCGATGTCCAATTTGCTTTCGGATTTATTGCCGATCGTAAATTATTTTTAACGCATAATAATCCACACACGGATCTTCAAAACACAATAATTTACAGCGTAACAAGATTTATACGAGCAACAAATCAAAATTCAAAAATTAGGATTGAAAGTTAAAAAGTCAATAGTAGTATTTATTGATGTATACAAATATTTATGTAAAATAATCAAAATTCTAAACAATTTTATTCTAGTCAATAATTCATGAAAACATGTAATATATTATGATTACGTCAATACAAAAAAAAAACTAAAATATGTATTCCGCAATTTCCGGTCTTCAAAGATTCTTGTCTCTTACAAAATTGTAAATTGTAAAGTGTAACACTCTTGAAAGCAAATCCTAATTCACCACATAGCATTGAAAATATTATAATATTAAAAAATGTTTAATCTATAATATCCATCTATTGTAAAATGTTCAAGTATTGTCTTAAAGAATATACAACTTAAACTCTTATGCACTTAATTAAACTTATTAGTAAGATAAGATAAAATTCCAACGTTAAGTAAAACAATTAATATTTCTTTTAATTATATTAATTATATCTTGCATCTTGACGTACGATATATTGGTATACTGTTCTTTGACAGTTTTGTGTTTAGTGAATCCAGTTATGTGTTAGAGTGTTCCAAAGTGGAGGTAAAAAGAGAATTCTTCAGTACCACTACAACCAAGGAGAAAAGCGGAGCAGGTGGCCAAAAATTGTTGGTGTTGTTTATAGATCCAATATAGTATCTAATGCAATAGCAAAGCGTTGGTTCCAACGCTTCCGCTCTGGTAAATCGTCAAAAATGTTGATAAAACATGGAAATCGTCAAGTCGGACCGGCATACAAGCACTTATTCCAGAAACTGAAGATTAGCCAGAAAACCGTTTGGACCATTTCCATAAGGTTGGTCTCAAGAAGAAGCTCGATGTATGGGACAAAACTTTTTACTTTACCCAATAATTAATTGTGTAGTTACGATACATATTATTTTTTATTGAATATTTATATCATAAATGTCAATTATAATGTTTTTATTATAATATCAATGTATTTTATGGTATATGTAAATCTAATTATTTATTTATATAGAGTTAAAAAAACACAATTCTTGCATTAATTTAGAATAATATGAATATATACAATAAATTTTATAAACAATTTATGTATTTACTTTAAATTTATTTTATATAATTATTATATAAATATAATTTTGAAATGATTTAGATGTTACAAAGATTTGTGGTGATTTAAAAAATATAATAATTATTTTAAAATTTAAAA